CGCCATTTTTAGCTCTACTGGTCAAAGACCAGAAGAGCTAATGCGATAGTAATGCGTTCGGCGTCCTCTGTCTGTCCAGCTGTCTGTCCATCTGTCTGTCTTTAAACAATTTTTCAAAAAGCTACTCCTCCTAAAGTTTTGGTCTGATTTCAATACAACTTGGCACACAAGTAGACTACACTAAGATACATAATTCTTTATATCGGTTTTTGATTTTGATGAATGGTGTTGCCGTTGTTACCAAAAATAGAAATTTCTTTGAAATACTTTCAAAATGCTACTACTCCTACAGTTTTGGTCTGATTTCAATAAAACTTAACACACAAGTAGACTACACTAAGATACATAATTCTGTACATCGGTTTTTGATTTCGATGAATGGTGTTGCCATGGTTACTAAAAATAGAATTTTCTGTGAAAATCATTCAAAATGCTACTACTCCTACAGTTTAAGTTTGATTTCAATATATTTTGGCACACGAGTAGACTACACTAAGATACATAATTCTGTTTATCGGTTATTGATTTCGATGAACGGTGTTGCTACAATTGCTAAAAATAGAAATTTCTGTGAAATACTTTCAAAATGCTACTCCTCCTACAGTTTAAGTCTCATTATTAATAATATAATTTGACATGCAAGCAGACAACACTGAGATACATAATTATCAGTTTTGTGTTTTTGATTTTGATAAGAGATGTTGCCATGTTAACTAAAATTGAAAATCTGTAAAATTTTATTAAAAGCTACTCCTACAGTTGTAGTCTTATTACAATCTTGCCACAAAAAGAGACTTAATCAAGGATCATTATACTATTTATTGCTTTTGTAAAATTTTAAGTCCCAAATGCTCCTATTCTCTTCCTTTATTATAAGAACAAACTAGTAGAGCTACACTAGTCTCAACAGAGACTTCTGGTTTTTATCATAAAGATTTGTTGTTAGGTTATCATAAATGTTTTTTGCGAGTAAAATATCCAAATATGAAACAGAATTGTGTCAGAATCTGAAGTATCTTTTATCTCAAGCTCACTGGAATAGATTGTGTCAACAATGTCACTATTGTTAATTGACAATTTATTGTCAATATATGTACTGTATATCTAAATGTCGAGTTGAAGGCCTCTGCAAGTGTTTTCTTTTCATGTATCAGGAGTTGAAAATCTCCTTCTCTGATCCTGGGTATCAAACAAACTAACTACATACATAGTTATGATGAAATTGTGAATTTCTTTGCCCCTGGGTAAGGGGTTCTGATGTTACGGCAGGGCTCTATTGATAATAATATATTGCAAATGCATTAATTCTATGAAAATCTTATCTGATGTTTGGTATTAAATAAACTTACTACATAGCTATGATGAGGAAGGGTGCTGCTTCTAAAATTGTGAAATTCATGGCCCAGTGAGTCAGGGGTTCTGATGTTAGGATGGAGCTATAAAAATTATATATTGAAAATGCATATATTATTTGAAATCTCCTCTGCTTCTGGGTATTAAGCTGAAGAACTACCATGATGAGCAATACTCCTAACAGATTTGTGAATTGCAAGGCCCCTGGGTCAGGCCAGTTACCGGGGTACCTTAGATGGGGGGGGGGGGTTAATTAGATATTGAAAATAACTTAATGCTTTGAAATCTGCATGCTCCTTGATATTAATGAACCCATGCAGGGTCAGGGGTTCCTGTGGGGTGGGGCACTACTGATTATATTGCTGAATATTATTCATAAGTTGAAAAGAATTGTTTTGTTCCCCTACTCTGCCTATGGGTATTAAGTAACTGAACTTCATGGGTCATAATTTGGACAATTTAAAATCTACACTACCCCAAGACGCTTCCACATAAGTTTCAGCTTTTCTGGTCCAGTGGTTCATGAGAAGAAGATTTTTCCTATATATTTCTAAGTAAAACTTTCATTCCCTATTGTGGTCCCGCCCAACCCCTGGGGGTCATGGTTTGAACATGCAATTTAGAATCTGCACTACCCAAGGATGCTTCCAAATAAGTTTCAGCTTTTCTGGTCCAGTGGTTCTTTCCTATATATTTCTATGTAAAACTTTGACCCCCAGGGGTCTTGATTTGAACAATTTAGAATCTACACTACCCCAGGATGCTTCCACATAAGTTTCAGCTTTTCTGGCCCTGTGGTTCTTGAGAAGAAGATTTTTTTAATGACCCCACCCTATTTTTGTCTTTTCTTGATTATCTCCCCTTGTGAGGGGACTTGGCCCTTTATTTTAACAATTTAAATTCCCCTTCACCCAAGGATGCTTTGCACCAAGTTTCGTCAAAATTGGCCCCTTGGTTCTTGAGATGAAGTCGAAAATGTGAAAAGTTTACAGACGGAAAGACAGACAAACAGCTACGGTAGATGGACAGACAGACGGCAGACTAAATGTGATCAGAAAAGTTTACTTGAGCCTTTGGCTAACTTTTTAGATGAGCTAAAAAGCAGTCCCAGGCTGTGTAAACCACTAAAGATGTTCAATGTTTAAAGAAATCTGCTTGAACTTAGCTAAGATACATTTCAGCATGAATATCTATGAGTTTATTAAATTTCAGAGGCAATATGTAGAAACTTCATCGAGGGTTCTTATGAACAAGCACATGTTGTGTATTTTATCCTTACAACTTACTACCAACAATTTTACATGTAACTCATTAGCATAGATTTTTTCTTGATGATATGCATAATTACCTATGCAATAATTGATTATTCACAGTGGTTATAAATATTATTTACATAAACATTAGACATCAATAAGTTCATGATCATCTTCATTAGTATCTATATGATTAATGTTAATCTTACTCTAGAGACGATTCAAAATGGGTAGCAGGTAAAACAGTCGCTTCTATTTCATTTTAGATATGTAAATAATTACAGAATTTTTCATTTTTTCCCCTACATCAGAGTTTGAAAATTTAGTTTAGATATTTATCTCTTGGCCCCTGCTCTTTGTCTTGCATGCTTGTGGAACCTCCTGGCTCAGGGCCAAAAAATGAGATGAATTAACTCACTTTTGAACTCCACCTCAATTTTACAAAAGGAATATGCATGTAACGTATGTTGGAAAAATGAGACTGGGGTCGAAAGTGAGCTCAGCTACATTCTATGGTCCACGAGTCATTTCCTAAGGTTTAGAATTTTTTTGTATGCATTGCCTTCATATTCTATACCTGACTGAACGGCCTTCGATTTATTTCAACTGCTCGTACAACCAGCACAACTTTCATATCAGCATTTCGGTAGGCATCCGTTTAACACATGGTACATTTATTAGATGTTTTGTACCTGGGCCATTCGTGTGCGTTTCATTACCTTTTTTAGAAAATAAAGGGTATGGTTCCTTATAGACTTATTGCCTGTTCTTTCACGGGCATTTTTGTTTTTTTTCAGATGTCGACAATCTTGTTTGATATACCTTCCCCTCATTATAACATTCCTTGTGTTTGTATACTATCATAAGGATCAACACAAAAATGCATCAAAACGGGATTCATACACCGCAGGGAAATATAAAAGTATGCTCAAAAATACCGGAAGTGCCAAATTAAATGAACAAAATTTGGATGGTTATGATGCAAAAGGAGAAATAGAAAGTTCTGAGCAAGAAGATATTGACTATGATGTTAATGGAGATGATACATCGATTGGTACGAAAATCCTCACAATGTTCAAGTATTACATCGGACAAGCAAAAGATATGATTATGAAAAAAGATGACCAACTCAGCAAAAGTGAGGTCGAAACGGAAGTGGAGAAATTCAGGGAAAGGAACTCTATAAGGGATGGGGATGAGTGAAAATTTTGACTTAAAAAAAATTGACACTTTCAATAGCTATACATGTACATATATAGTTTATTTAGAGTTATATTCAGCATTTGAATTATTACATTCAGTATTTATGTGCATGAAAAAATATTGTGAATATAAATGTATATTTCTACTTGAATACATTTAAGATTACAATGTTATAATTATCTAGTACATGTACTGCTAAATGCATATAGCAAATTTAGGTTTTAATAATATGATGGAGTGTATTGCTACTAAAAAGCTAAGCCTGTACAGCATTGTAAATGCAAAAAACTTACAGTCCATACTTAGTAATTGTCATTGGGAATATATTGTATAACTGTATTATTATTTGTGTGCCTATGTACCAACAATAATGGCAAATAAATCTTAATAAAGCAAAACAGTTTGAAGCTATTTCATAATCTAAGGATGAAGTATGTATACACTGCAACAGATTGAAGTTTGCATCATCAGTTAACAAGATGTACTAAGAGAGCTAGTTCTTGACAACATATTGGCTAATTTCCAAAAAGGTATGTACATCACATGCAATCTAATTAAAATTAGATGTTCCAAATAGCGGTAGCAGATTCGGATCATCTAATTTTAATTAGATTGCGTCACATGCAGCAATATTAACTACCATAATAATTGTTTATGTACTTTATGTATCTATTATTTACTTTAACTAACATTTACAAAAGTGTATGTATACATATAAATAAAAAAAACATATTAAGGCCAAAAAAAATTAATCAATAGTTTCTCAGGCACCGCCGCATCAGTTCAAAAACAGCCGCATTGATCAATTTTATTGACATACTGAAAAGGGAAATAACTCAATTTTCTATTTTTCCAAGTTGAAAAAGAAAATCGAGTTATTCCCCTTTTCATAAATGCTAAGAAAGACGTTTTTATTAGAAAAACAATATATTTCTTCTAAATCTAAAGTATTTTATCAGTTAACTTTTAAATAAATGTTTGGAATAACATTATTTAATGTTGAATACATATTATAACTAATTTCAGAGAACAAAACTTAAGAATAAGTAGATATTATCATTTTACTGCACAAATGACTTACAAAAAAAGGTATAAAACCTGCTTCCAAAAAAAAAAAAAAAATGCCTGCCGCATTGAATTTTGAACTTTTTGGCCTGAGAAACTATTAATTAATTTTTTTTGGCCTAAATGTCCAGAATGTTTTGTTTTGGACTAATTTATCCATTCCGGACTTTTTTATAGGAGATTACTCCTTATACAATGTCCACTTTAGTAGTGTGAGAGATATATAACAAATATTGCACAACATACTTTAAATTAATGATATATACCTCTATGTACATTACATGTAAATGAAACAATAAGAAGATATTTGTATATAGATACAAAAATATATTTAATACATTGACAAAATATATACGTATAATCTTGTGAAATGCAGAAAGACACTTGTAAAATACAGAAAAATACACTAACCTAAGGAAATGTTCATTAGACCCTCAAGCTAAGATATTAAATACCTTATCTATTAGGATTTTTTGTTAAATACCCTCAGAAATAAAAAAAAAGAAAAATTGCATCATAAAAAGGTAAATAACTGCATTATCACACGTGTTATCACAATGTTTCCTTAGTATATTTCTAATTCTGAACCCCCAGCATTCTAAATGCCCAGGCATACTTGCATGGCATTTTGCCATCAGTAAACACAGGAAGTTGAATGGTTATCCCTCCTTGGGCCTCTGGTGTGAATTTGATCTGCTGTTGGTACCCCAGCAGGTAAATGACCCCCGTGTTGTCTAACTTTGGTGCCCCGAGCCGGAGCATGCCATTGGTCGGCCAGTCCAGAACTATGGCGTAGACAGCGGTAGTACTGCTTATCTTCTGTTTTGTGTACCTGTGGTGTACCAGAAATATTAGGTTTAAAGGTAAGTATGGAATATATTCAAAACAAGCAAATTCAAAGAATTGTGGTCCCCTGTTTTCAGTGTCTTAGTAGATGGGATGCAGTTATTTATGGCATATTGTGTCAAATACGAAGACCCTTTCAAATATCATCCAAAAGTAATCAACAAAGTTTTTTTTTTTGAAAAATAAGTCATCAAACATGAAGATCAAGGGGTTAGAAAACATATAGCATGCTCAGAAACATCTTGTTGCAAGTAATGCTTATGTCAAATATGAAACCTCTATCTCATCTTCTCTAGGAAAAATTATGAAGAAAAGGTAGGTTAAAGTTCAAGGTCGCCAGGGTTAAATTCAAAGTATACAAAGAAAGGTCTTCACAGGTAATACATGTGTAATATGTTCATCATATCTTTCTCTTTCAAAAGTTATGACAAATTAAAGGTAAGGTGGATATTTTAATTTGAAAAAATATATCAAACTTCAAGGTTAAGGTCACAAGGTTAAAAATTCAAAGTATATTTGGAAAAGACTTGTCACAAGTAATGTACATGTCAATCATGAAAACCCATCTCTTCTCATTCAAAAGTTATGAACAATATTAAAGTTTTTGTGACAGATGGATAGACTGATGAACAAATGACATTTAATGTCTCCTTGCTATAAAATTTGCAAAAGCTTGGTACAATAATAAAATGAAGAAATGTCACAGCAAAGTTTATAAAATGTTTTACTTTGGTGATCTAGGAATTAACTCAATTTTACTTCTTTCTTGATCAGAATGAGATGCATCATTTAAGGGGGCCGACTATAGTTTTATTGTGTGAAAACTACAATAGCGAAACTCTTCATTTTTACAACATATATAGATTACATTAACTTCAGTGTACATGCAAAGTTTGGGGGAAATCTATCATCCAGGTATTTTTGAGGGACCGTCTCAAAATACAGGTACATTTACTATAGGATTATATAGGAAAATGCCAATTTTTAGCACTCTAAAGCAAATTATACAAATACTACAATAGACATTTTGTTCAAACTATAATATTTGATGAGTAATACTATATTATACAATATATGTAAGAAACACAAAATTCTACCGTCTTGTTACCAGAGGGGGCATCTCAAAATGCAAAGATTTAGCAAATTTTACTATTTCTATAGAGTATTACAAAATATGACGTACACAATGGATTCACATGAAAACATAATAAAAATATTGGAGATATTCTCAAATTTCTATGTTTTAAATTTCAAAAGCGTATGTTTATTACTTTTTCTTTAATAATATTTTTATTACCCCTTTCTTTAAGAACTACAGATTATCATAACGTCAAAAACACACTGCAACGACGTCAACCTACCTATCAATTGCAAAATCGGTTAAAAAACCAGTTAAATCAAATTGTAATTACATTTTTATACCTATATTTTCTTAATTTTGTTTAATTTTAATAATTAAGCGAAAAAAGTTGCATTAAAACAGTAAATACGCTTCGTTTTACTATGATGCGCGAAATATTGCGCAATGGAAACTATAGTCGTCCCCCTTAAATCTGTAAAAATCAACAATTAATCATTTCACAATGTCTGTTTTTATGCCCCCCCCCCTAAACAAATTGTGACAAAATCTTTGTTTGGGTACCAACATATTTGACCTCTGACCCTGGCCTTGACCCAATTTTGAAAGAATTTACCCAACTTTAACCTTGTCCATAACTTTTGAACAGTTTATGCTTGGGTTTTCATACTGTAGATCACTAAATTTTCGCGACACCTTATTTTCGCGAGATAGTCATTGACTCTTTATTAGCGAGACATAATTTTCACGAATTGTTGTTTTTCCTCTATATAATCGTAAGGAATACTTTTAAATGCGAGAATGAAATTTTCACTGGCTCATTGTCTCGCATAATTACGCGAAAATAAAGTTCTCGCGAATAAAACGTGATTTACAGTACTTCACTTGTATATTCATTGTGAAGAGACCTTTTTACAACCTTTAAATTTGACCTTTGAGTTTGACCTACATGTAAAAATCTTTAACCTTGTCCATAACCTTTTTAATAGTTACTGCTTGGTTATAATAGACTACTTTTTATATTCATGGTTGAATTTTTAGATGTTATCAACAATTATTTAAAGGTTTATAGACAGGGCCATTCTATACATAGAGTGAAACTAGTTCTTTAACAATAATATTATTATGACAAAGCATAAAAATTATTTTCCATTGCATGTGTTAAATATGTTAAAATAAAATACCCGGTAAATAAGAAATTGAGATGCACTAATTAATAAACAAGCACCAGTAAATATCTATTACAAATTACCAATTATTATATCTATATAACATGCATGGAAGAAATGTGAATAAAATGAGAAGCCTAAAATTATTGAATGGTTAATAACTGTCTGAAATAATGAGAAGAAATGTTGCTGCAATGTTTATTTTCTGGGTCACTGGATTACTTCAGCACTCCCTGAAACACGAATGTCCAGGCCCACTGACACGGCAGCTCCTCAGTGGGGATTTGGGGGATCTCTAACAGAACCCCCTGTGGGTGTAGGGTGGTAAAGTTCACTGGCTTGTCTTCATGGCCCACTAGATATACAGTGGTCCACTCCGCTGTCTTAGGAACTCCGAGGTGAATAGTTTTATTGGTGGGCCAGTCTAGAAATATTGCGTACAACATTTGCTCCATGCTTATTTTTACAGCTGTATACCTGTTTGAGGAAAAATATCTCCCATCACCAGCTTAAAATGGGAAAGAATTTTTATTCAGAATCTAGATCAAAATCTGTTTGAAATATTAATAAATTGTTGGGTATTTTTTGTCCTAAAATCATGAACTTAAAAAATTTGTGATTGTTAATGTTCTCTAAAATCCAGTACAATATTTTTAGTAAAATGTGTGTTTTAACCCTTCATATTCGACAGCATAATGTTTTTTTAAAAAGCAGAAAATACACTAGAACAAGTAAAACAAGAGGCCCATGGGCCACATCGCTCACCTGAGAAGCTTTGACCATTCTGTTCTTTACCAGATTTCCCCCTTGTTATACATATTGCGACCCCATCCTACCCCAGTGATCATAATTTAGACATTTGAAATCTACACTACCTCAGGATGCTTCCATGTGCATATAAGTTTCAGCTTTTCTGGCCCAGTGGTTCTCGAGAAGAAGATTTTCATAGATTTTCCTATATATTTCTATGTAAAACTATGATTCCCCATTGTGGCCCAGCCCTACCCCCGGGGGTCATGATTTGAATAAATCAATATCTTCACTAACCCAGGATGCTTCGATATAAGTTTCAGCTTTTTCGGCCCAGTGGTTCTTGAGAAGAAGATTTTCAAAGATTTTTCCTATATATTCCTATGTAAAACTTTGATTCCCCATTCTGGCCCCGCCCTACACCCGGCAGGGGTCTCGATTTGAACAATTTAGAATCTACACTACCCCTGGATGCTTTCACATACGTTTCAGCTTTTCTGGCCCAGTGGTTCTTGAGAAGAAGATTTTTCCTATATATTTCTGTGTAAAATTTTGATTCCCCATTGTGGCCCCGTCCTACCCCCGGGGGTCATGATTTGAACAATTTAGAATTTACACTACTGAACGATGCTTCCACATAAGTTTCAGCTATTCTGGCCCAGTGGTTCATGAAAAGAAGATTTTCAAAGATTTTTCCTATATATTTCCATATAAAACTTTGATTCTCCAATGTGGCCCCACCCTTCCTCCGGGGGTTATGGTTTGAACAATTTAAAATCTACACTACCCCAGGATACTCCCACATAAGTTTCAGCTTTCCTGGCCCTGTGGTTCTTGAGAAGAAGATTTTTAAATGACCCCACCCTATTTTCGTCTTTTCTTGATTATCTCCCCTTGTGAGGGGACTTGGCTCTTCATTTTAACAATTTAAATTTCCCTTCACCCAAATATGCTTTGTACCAAGTTTGGACAAAATTGGCCCAGCAGTTCTTGAGAAGTCGAAAATGTGAAAAGTTTACAGACGGACAGACAGACGGACAGACAGCTAGACAGCTAGACGGACGGCGGACAAAATGTGATCAGAAAAGCTCACTTGAGCCTTCAGCTCAGATGAGCTAAAAAACTAAATCACACAAAGCAAAGCACACTTGTTAACAACATGCAACCTTGGATGCAGTAATGTTAAAAATTATCTAACCTAATGAATATTCAGAAAGTCCTATGAAGCTATGCTATAACCCTGCAATAACCAATCATACTGTACCAGACATTGGGAGTAATGGTATCATTCTGGTACGTCCAAGGGTGAGTTCCATAAATAGCCTCAGAGTTGACCTTCAGCCAATGTCCCATTTCTCTCAGCCTCTCCTCAAACACCGGTATAATCTTACCGTCACTGGTGGGACCCACGTTAACCAGAATGTTTCCCCCGCAGCTGAAAAGGAGAGCAGACTGGTTAATTAAACAATAAAATGCTTTCTTTGTTATTACTGGAATTAACGGAAGCAGCTGTTGCAGAAAAAATACATAACCCGCGTAAGCGGGTTATGTAAATTTTTTCTGCAATAGCTGTGACCGTTAATTCCAGTAATAACAAACAAAGAAAGACATTTTATTGTTTATATTTATATCTGTTTAAATAATCATTTAAAGAAGGATTGAAAAGTTTAATTATTGTATTAATTATGCGAACGTCTTTATACGTTTCATTGATGGAACAGCCATTGATCTAGAAATCTGTACAGGCGATATGCCTAATGTAGTTCATGCAGTGATTAACGCGATGGGTTTTCTTTAAGAAATAAAGGAGAAAATATTCAGTGGATGTCAATATTAGCTGGTTAACATGGTATAGGAGACATCAGTAAGGGGGGGCCATTTTGTTGTAAAGGGGCATTAGCATGAAAGGGACTTTTACTTGAATAGGAATAATTTTACTGGCAAAATGTTTGTCTTTGTGTTCAATATCTTAAAGCAATATGAGCTGCATGTTTGACATCGGAAAAAAATGTTGCAAATTTGTAATTAACTATTTCAATGACAGAAAAATAGAACATTTATAAACTTCTGTTGCTCATATTTGCTATTAAAGAACTTTTTATACACATTGATTTAAGCAAAATTGAATTATTGTCGTCGTGTACAATAATGATTTCTTATATAAAACTGTATATTCAGTTGTACAGAAATGTTTCTTCTGAAACATTTTTAAACTTTATTTTGGTTTCATTGATCATAAGGGTTTAGATTACATACAGATTAATCATAATGACACTTTTTACCCGCAAAATAAAATTCTCAAAAATGCAGCTCATATCTGCTTTGACCTTCACCTCTGACTTAAAGACTCAAGGTGATTTATTTATATACCTGACTGTTTCCACCAGTGTTCCAATGAGCTCATCCGTGGTCAGAAATTCTGACAGCTTTGTGTTTCTACGGTAACCCCAAGATTGCTTATCAATTGTCATGGCATTTTCCCATTTTCTCTTTTGCAACTTTCCTGTTTATGTAAAGAAAACGTTTTTAAATAACAAGAAACCTCAAATAACTTCAGATGTTTTTTCTTAAAAAAGATTTGATGTTAGGACAACAATGTACATATCTAAAATAATCTCCACTATTACATAATTTAATCTAACATGTCTTACCTGGGTTATACCTGTCTGAGCAGGTGAGGAATCCTCCATGTTTGCACATGACCCCTTGACCCCATCGATCATTGGTCACGACATTTTCTCTCACAGGACTGCAATAAAAAAAGAAAATCTATATTAGAATACACATACAGAATCAAATACATGCATGTATCATAAGTTCATTGCATTTTCTCAGTAAAAAATATTTTTTCTTTAATTTTGACTGTGTATCTGAACCAGAAGTCTCTGTCGAGACTGTAGCTCTACTGGTTTATACTTAAAACAAAGGAAGAGAAAAGTAGCAGTTGGGACTTGAGACTTTAAAACAGCAATAAGTAAAAAAAATGATCCTTGCCACTCATCAAAATAAAAACCTACGCACAGAATTATGTATCTTAGTATAGTCTACTTGTGTGCCAAGTTATATTGAAATCGGACCAAAAGTGTAGGAGGAGTAGCATTTTGAAAGAATTTCACAGAAATTTCTATTTTTAGTAACCTTGACAACACCGTTCATTGAAAGCAAAAACCGATGCACAGAATTATGTATCTTAGTGCAGTCTACTTGTGTGCCAAGTTATATTAAAATCAGACCAAAATTGTAGGAGGAGTAGCATTTTGAAAGACTTTCACAGAAATTTCTATTTTTAGTAACCACGGCAACACCGTTCATCAAAATCAAAAACCGATAAATAGAATTATGTATCTTAGTGTAGTCTACTTGTGTGCCAAGTTATATTGAAATCGATCCAAAACTGTAGGAGGAGTAGCATTTTGAAAGAATTTTACAGAAATTTCTATTTTTAGTAACCATGGCAACACCATTCATCGAAATCAAAAACCGATGCATAGAATTATGTATCTTAGTGTAGTCTACTTGTGTGCCAAGTTATATGGAAATCAGACCAAAACTGTAGGAGGAGTAGCATTTTGAAAAATTGTTTACAGACAGGCAGACAGACGGACGGACGGACGCATTACTATCGCATAAGCTCTTCTGGTCTCTGACCAGTAGAGCTAAAAATGAATCTATTAATTTAATATAAAATTTACCTGTGAAAAAGTTTACACGACACAATCTTTCCGCTTATGTACAAAATACTGAACTCTCAATTAACAGTCATTAAGACTTGTTTGGACACAATTCTGATCTGATTTATTCTGGCCTATCATTGTACAGCCAGGCTATGAAGTGTGTGGATATTCTGATCTATCATTGTACAGCCAGGCTATGAAGTGTGTGGATATTCTGACCTATCATTGTACAGCCAGGCTATGAAGTGTGTGGATATTCTGGCCTATCATTGTACAGCCAGGCTATGAAGTGTGTGGATATTCTGACCTATCATTGTACAGCCAGGCTATGAAGTGTGTGGATATTCTGACCTATCATTGTACAGCCAGGCTATGAAGTGTGTGGATATTCTAACCTATCATTGTACAGCCAGGCTATGAAGTGTGTGGATATTCTGGCCTATCATTGTACAGCCAGGCTATGAAGTGTGTGGATATTCTGACCTATCATTGTACAGCCAGGCTATGAAGTGTGTGGATATTCTGACCTATCATTGTACAGCCAGGCTATGAAGTGTGTGGATATTCTGACCTATCATTGTACAGCCAGGCTATGAAGTTTGTGGATATTCTGACCTATCATTGTACAGCCAGGCTATGAAGTGTGTGGATATTCTGGCCTATCATTGTACAGCCAGGCTATGAAGTGTGTGGATATTCTGACCTATCATTGTACAGCCAGGCTATGAAGTGTGTGGATATTCTGACCTATCATTGTACAGCCAGGCTATGAAGTGTGTGGATATTCTGGCCTATCATTGTACAGCCAGGCTATGAAGTGTGTGGATATTCTGACCTATCATTGTACAGCCAGGCTATGAAGTGTGTGGATATTCTGACCTATCATTGTACAGCCAGGCTATGAAGTGTGTGGATATTCTAACCTATCATTGTACAGCCAGGCTATGAAGTGTGTGGATATTCTGGCCTATCATTGTACAGCCAGGCTATGAAGTGTGTGGATATTCTGACCTATCATTGTACAGCCAGGCTATGAAGTGTGTGGATATTCTGACCTATCATTGTACAGCCAGGCTATGAAGTGTGTGGATATTCTGACCTATCATTGTACAGCCAGGCTATGAAGTTTGTGGATATTCTGACCTATCATTGTACAGCCAGGCTATGAAGTGTGTGGATATTCTGGCCTATCATTGTACAGCCAGGCTATGAAGTGTGTGGATATTCTGACCTATCATTGTACAGCCAGGCTATGAAGTGTGTGGATATTCTGACCTATCATTGTACAGCCAGGCTATGAAGTGTGTGGATATTCTAACCTATCATTGTACAGCCAGGCTATGAAGTGTGTGGATATTCTGACCTATTATTGTACAGCCAGGCTATGAAGTGTGTGGATATTCTGACCTATTATTGTACAGCCAGGCTATGAAGTTTGTGGATATTCTAACCTATCATTGTACAGCCAGGCTAAAAAGTTTGTGTGGATAATCTGACCTATCATTATACAGCCAGGCTATAAAGTTTGTGTGGATATTCTGACCTATCATTGTACAGCCAGGCTATGAAGTTTGTGGATATTCTGACCTATCATTGTACAGCCAGGCTAATAAAGTTTGTGGATATTCTGGCCTATCATTGTACAGCCAGGCTATGAAGTGTGTGGATATTCTGACCTATCATTGTACAGCCAGGCTATGAAGTGTGTGGATATTCTGACCTATCATTGTACAGCCAGGCTATGAAGTGTGTGGATATTCTAACCTATCATTGTACAGCCAGGCTATGAAGTGTGTGGATATTCTGACCTATCATTGTACAGCCAGGCTATGAAGTTTGTGGATATTCTAACCTATCATTGTACAGCCAGGCTAAAAAGTTTGTGTGGATACTCTGACCTATCATTATACAGCCAGGCTATAAAGTTTGTGTGGATATTCTGACCTATCATTGTACAGCCAGGCTATGAAGTTTGTGGATATTCTAACCTATCATTGTACAACCATGCTAATAAAGTTTGTGGATATTCTAACCTATCATTGTACAACCATGCTAATAAAGTTTGTGGATATTCTAACCTATCATTGTATAACCATGCTAATAAAGTTTGTGGATATTCTGACCTATCATTGTATAACCATGCTATGAAGTGTGTGGATATTCTAACCTATCATTGTACAGACAGGCTATAAAGTTTGTGGATATTCTAACCTATCATTGTACAGCCAGGCTATGAAGTGTGTGGATATTCTGACCTATCGTTGTACAGCCAGGCTATAAAGTTTGTGGATATTCTGACCTATCGTTGTACAGCCAGGCTATAAAGTTTGTGGATATTCTGACCTATCATTGTACAGCCAGGCTATGAAGTTTGTTTGGATATTCTGACCTATCATTGTACAGGCAGGCTATGAAGTGTGTGGATATTCTAACCTATCGTTGTACAGCCAGGCTATGAAGTTTGTAGAATTCCAGTAAGTATCTGGTGCTTCCCAGTCTCCGTCGGACCAGATCACGTCCGGTTTGTACCGGTTCACAATCTCGTACAGCTCCGGCATTGTTTTACTCTAAATATATAAAAATGGTTGTTAAAAAACAGATTGAAACCTGCTGCATGAAACTTGAAAAAACTAAACTTCCATTTTACCCGGTACCAATTATCCTTACAAATACTGGTGTTTGAGATGGTAACTACATGTAATACTAGTGTAGAGAAGAATACTGTATTACATATTACACTCGGCGGTGTATTTTTTTAGCGCTTTTGGCGGAAAGGTACTTCCGCTAATATAAGTACATCGCTAAATGTCTTAAACATTGATAAATGAATAAGAACATGAAGAAATGCGCTAAATCAAATCTACGTTAACTTGATGAAAAATCACTTTCCGCTAAATATAATACATTTAAAGTATACTAAAAACCAATTTTTATTCATGTGCGAGAAATATCCATGAGCTTTTCGACCTGCTTTACTCACAAATATCAATATCCACAAAAACTTTATTTTGCTTCGTATTTATAGAGAATGTTTCCTCAGCAAAAACTAATTTTTGTGAATTGATTTCAAACTGATGAATTGCAAAAAAAAGATGATATGAATACTGAAAAGATTCTTTTTTCCATGGGTTGATAATTCTGTGTTATATCTATTTCCGTTTAATTTGCAAGTACTGTAGAAAATTATGCACATTTCTTAGACTTTCACTATATGCCATTTACGTATATTAAGTATGATGGGATGAAAATCCCCGGAAAGTTTGTGACCATGAACTTAGTGTTAATTAATACATGTACCACAAGGAAATAAGTACTTCTACAGTAATTGTTGGTTTACGATAAACTTAAAGGACTTTTTCTTGCCTCCTACCTCCACAAACTTCTGAGTCTGCCACTTGTTGGCCTTGTCCTGGAGATACTGAGGATGAAACCATTCAAACAGGGAATGATAAAGGCCGAAAAACAGATCCGTTTGGTTTCTGATGGCTGTTGCAAGCTCTCCTGTAAATATATATGTAAATGTGTATATTCTTTTTCACAAATGAAGTGTATGCTTCAGTTATCATTGTTATAAAAAGCACTCAATATTTCTCTAAAGGATATAAAACAAAACTTATTTCCAAAGCATGCTGAGTATTACTGATAATGCAGGGTTTTTTTATGAATAGGTAGTTCATATAAAGCTAATCACAAACAAAATTTTACACAAACAACATTTACTCAAAATGTCATTTGCTTTTAAACCCTTTGAAATCATATTCAACTTTATGCTTTCATGTAAGTTGCATTTTAATCAGAATACTCAAAGTACAATGTACAACATTTATTCTGCAAAAAAAAAAAATGATATCATGTAATATGGTTTTCTAAGATCAAACTTCCATTACCCACAAGATCTCTGGCTGGGCCGACATCGTTAGAGTTCCAGTTAAATGAGAACATTGACGGCCAATTGGTGAACCCTTCATGATGTTTGCTTGTCAAAACAACATATCTAAAAAGATGTCAAAAGAAATAATGCATAAAACATGTAAAACTTTTGAAGTGCAAACAAAATTGAGCACAGGAATTTATGTGTATAATGCTTCCAATTACAAAAAGAGAAAATACATGTACACATGTAGAATATATTGTTCAGCATGAACTTTCTGACTACTTAGCACAATTGAATTGAATTGAATTGAAATATCTTGTCTATAAGTTGAAACAATCTTTTATTTTTTAATGATTACATGTCCTGAATTTATCAATTTTCAATCGGTTAAATGCAATATGCCACAAATAGTGTAAAAGATTTCATTTTTACTGGGTCTATATTAGCTGTAAAGCACTTTCATTCAAAATCAATAAAGCTTATAAATGTCTCCATAATTTCTTTTGTTAAGATTGTCATGTGTTACTGATTTAATATCATGTGATGTCTACAAAGTCAACACAGATTTAATTTTTCTTAGGTCAATGGTCTTCACACATCAAGTAGCTTCCTTAGTCATCTCTACCAAATAGTGATTTCAAAATTTTATGCCTGTATTTAAAAATGTTAATCATCTTGTCCCATATAGCATAAAAAGAGGCACATGGGCCATATCGCTCACCTGAGCACATCGGCTAAGAAAAAGGACAAAGCATGCTTACTTGAGGGTGCCTCCATATTGATATAGCATATAGCTTTGCTGTTCTTGAGAAAAGGTTTTTTTTTTAATTCTTCCTATATATTACTTTGTAAAAATTTGATCCCCCATTGTTACCCCTCCATACCAGAAGAGGTCATGATTTGAACAAATTTATATCTTTATTACATAAGGATGCTTATCATGCTTATATGTCAAGATGACTAAACATATATAATTTTTCTGTTCCTGAGAAGATTTTCCCCTTTTTTCTTATGTAAAACTTTGATCCTTCTTTGTGGCCCCACTAACCCTCAGGGGGCTATGATTTGAACAAACATAAATCTACACAACCAGAGGATGCTTCCTTATAAATATCACTAATCATGACTTTGCTATTCTTGAGAAGAAGATTGATAAAATTTTTTTCTACATATTTCCATGTAAAACTTTGATCCCTAAGTGTAGCCCCATCCTACCCTTGGGGGACATGATTTGCACAAACTTGAATCAACACCAAATACCTGTGGACAATTTACTTAAGTTTTATCTTTTTTGGCCCAGTGTTTCTTGAGGAGAAGATTTTCAAAGATTTTTCCTATATATTCCACAATCCTATGTAAAACTTTGCTGGTCATTGTGGCCCCATCCTACCTTGGAGGTCATGATTTGAACAAACCTGAATCTACATCATGTATGGATAACTCCACATAAGTTTCATCTTTCTTGGCTCAGTGATTCTTGAGAGGAAGATTTTTAAATGATACCATTAGTTTGTCACTAATTTGTTATTATCCACCCTAGCTTGAACAATTTTGAATCCCCTTCACTTAAGGATACTCTGTGTCAAGTTTGGTTAAAATGGACCCAGTTACTGAGTAGTTCTTGAAAAGAAGATGAAAATGTGAAAAGTTTACAATGACGACAAAGGAGATTATTATCCTTCAGAATTATACAGTCAATCTGATTGGTTTAGAGCAGGTCACTTGCAGGGAGACAACTCGTGATGTCTCCCTCACGTGCAGGGTGACAACTGTTATCTTCCTTCAGATGACAATGAAATAGTACAAGTGAGCATGCTGGGTCACAACTGTGTTGTTGCCTTTTGAATGAAAATACAGTGGTTTTAGCGAGATGACTCATATTTTTAATTTAACAATTGTTAAATATGCAGGATCAGAAAACAATAAATTCCAATGATGACGTCAAAGTTGTCTGTTGACATATTTTGAAAGTGGAATCTGAGCAGAGTAGGAGAACACAAGAGGTTTAATTACTATTTTCTACTCCATCTAATTGATTATTTAGATTCTTCAGAATAATAAAACGATTATGGACATTTTAGAAGGGAGACATCTTCAATTATCAGGTCTGAGTAGGGTTGTCACCCTCGGGTGCAAGCACCTTCGGGTGACAAACCTACTCAGACCTGATAATTAATTGGTGATATCTCCCTTCTAAACAGTCCATAATTGTATATTACAACAGACAAACTTTAATCAGAAAAGCTCACTTGAGCCTTTGGCTGAGGCAGGTGAGCTAAAATCTCATTCACAAGTTGTTTTTTTTTTGTTGAAGCTGCATGCTTTTTCTCCATGTTTCTTTAAAAAATGCCATGTCAAAACTACATTATTAAGATTCAAACATGCCTTCGGCATCGGGTGACATAACACTCCAGGGCTTTCCTGTCACCTCGGGGCAAATATTCTGGTATGTCACCCTCGAAGCCATGTGATATATGTATAATATCACTGTAGCACTAGGGAAATTAATCAGTTGAACATGTAGTTTTGACTGTCTTTTTTAATAAATATAGATCAAAATGTGGAACTTCTTATCTAAATTATTAAATGGAAGAATATAACAAACATGCTTATCATGATGCTTATAAGTCATCTTGGTGGTGAAATTCATCTTACTCTTAAAAGTGAGCAACACTTTGTGTCGCATGTCACTGCGGGCTCTGACTATAGGCTTAACTGGTCAATAAGAAACTTCAGACTTTTACACATTCATTCAACAGAATTTTTTCCACAGTAACTTTGGACCCACAAAGATTCGCTTGTTAAAGCTATGTTTTCATGAGAAAATGAACAATAAAAGTTAAATTTAAAAAATTGCCTTGATTTAACAGTTGAATGAATATACATTATAATATTGCAGGTACATTACTAAATAGTTAACATGTGGGTAAATTTTAAGGACGTTTGATCCTGAGATTTTGAGCGTATTTTGGTCAGGTCCTTTATTTACAAAATTCTGCATCATTTTTAAGTTCTTACATTAAATTTGAATTCTACAGTGCAAATTAACTATATTCAATGAAAAAACCGCGATTAAATTCCATTCAAGTAGAATTAAGCTCGGGACTATATTTTATGGCGGAAGGATTTTTAGACGAAAATGATCAATTTTTCCATTTTGAACTTAACAGTACTGTTAATTTTGGATTCCTATTTTTCCATCCTGGTTGCGCGCAAAACTGTTTTTTTGCAGTGAAATGTGTTATGCTGGTTCTGAAATATCTATTTAATTATTTCTAGTGTTGGCAACGAGTACCCGGTTAACCGGTTAACCGTCGAACGATGCGAGTATCGGTTAGTAAAACTGCTATTCGGTTACTCGGATAAAAATACATTTTTCATAGTAAATACGTCTAAAATGATTTTTTATGCGATTTGTAAATGTATATTGGCACATTTCCCTAAATTAATTACCGTTAATTACTGTTAGGCTTGCTCTACTGGTTTACAATTGGGATCGATTTGTTTTGATTGGTTTTCACAGCGTATATAATTGATGGCTTTGATTACCAGGGGGGTACATGTTTTGAAAACCTGAGTTATAATTACCTAAATAGACCTGTGATAGTTAGAGGAAGTTACTTTCACAAGATGCCGCCTCAAACATCTAAAGCGTGGATATATATTTTTTTAAAAACCGACTGAATCGAAATCTGTCAAATGCAAATTATGTGAATCGGAGTTGTCATATACGGGTGGAACTACAATATGCTAAATCACCTTAGATTGAAACATAATTCGGAAACCAGTGACTTGCAGGAAACTCCACAAAAACAACCAGCAATTACAGGGTCATGTGTTGATTATTTTTTTTTCTTAAACGAAAACAAATTGAATGTTTCGAGTGACATTTAAAATCAATAGTGTTCGAAGATGTTGTGTTTTTTTTTAAGTTTGTATTTGTAAATAAATTAAAACTCATATACAATGTACGTTGCATTCGTGGATTATTTTTCCCAATAAGTAAAAGGATGAGGTTAATAATACATACGGAAACTATAGCAAAAAAATCATCCGAGTAACCGGGTACTCGATCGGAAGATTAAGCGAGTAACCGGTTACTAAAAATCGTCCGATTTGCCAACACTAATTATTTCTTATGAATTCTATCAACAAAGTGTGACAAATATAGTAAATATATTCTAAAAACCCAGAAAAAATTGAGCCAATTTTAACGTAAAATTGACACTTTTTTAGTAATATCCAAAACTTTACATCATATACTCCCACTTTTGATGTTCTTTTCTTAATATTCAAGATAAATTTGACCTATTGCTTAAAATCAGAAAAAGTTTAAATCTTTCAAACAATTTTCTTGCTTATTAAATTTTCAATGCCAGAAAATTCACTTTTTATCAGTGCAGAAAGGTCAAATAATTGATTATGCGAAGCAATTTGAAACTTTTTCTTAGTCACAATTTTTAAGTGTCTTTTTTTAAACAAACTTAGAGTTCATTTTGTTTCATGCTTTAATCATGTTAATTGGATAAAAATATTGGAAGGAAAACATCCAAAATTTTCATCTTAATTAAGACACAAATTTCAGTGCAAAAAGGTCATATTAAATGTACTGTAGCACAAAAAGAAGCGTATTAACCCCCATTTTTTGATTTGAATTTTAATCAAGTCCAGCACAATACCCCAATAAAGGTATATAGCTTGATAAAGCTATATAGCTTTATCAAGGTATTTAAAATACCTTGATCAAGGTATTTTATGTAATGAAAATTCAAAAAAATTCTTTAAAAATTAAATACCGAAAGTCGAGTTCTGAGTTTTTGTCAGTGTGTCTACTCGTGCATGAAAAACACTCTGGTATCAAAAGGAAAGCATAAAATAACGTCTCCTCACACGACACGTTTTTCTACTGATTTGTTTGAGTTTGAGTTCTTTACATGCATGGGTGAATTTACTGACAACAACTCAGAACTCGACTTTCAGTAATTAATTTTTAAAGAATTTTTTTGAATTTTCATTACGTCATAAAATACCTTCATCAAGGTATTTTAAATACCTTGATAAAGCTATATAGCTTTATCAAGCTATATACCTTTATCGGGGTATTGTGCTGGACCTGTTAATTTAGATAGAATGTTCTATCGTTAAAATGATATTGTCCTACAGACCCAGTTTAACGATAGAATTCGTTCCGTGTATTCGTAATGTAGCAGAAAGAAACACGGGCGATAACTCGCATAGTGCATTTACTAGGAACAATCTAGAGAGTTCCGAATGTAGTAATTTGAATCGAGAGAAAAACGTTGAGAAAATTAATTGGATTTTCGTATTTATATGGATTATTTTATGGGATAAAAGGCATAAGCAATCTCAAAAAGGTTTGTTTTGATTATTTTGGTAGTTATTCCCAGTGCAAATCATTTTATATTCTTCAAAATCGTTTCGGAGCAGATCCGCTCCGATTTGCTACATTGCAAGTATATGGGACGTATTCTAACTGTGGTGAGGGCCTGTACCGAGACACAGTTAGATTATTCTAACTACTGTTAATTAAGCTATGTATGTAGAAACTAAAAATACATTTGGCAAAAAAAGTTTAAGACTTTAAATATTAGGATCGAATGTCGTTAAAAAAATATTTCATTAAAATCATCACTGTTCAGTCATCGGATAGGTAATGCAACTTACAATGACGTCATGTAACGTCAGAGTATCAACCGTCAACATAGTGTGCACTGTGATATTGTGCAGTTGTGTAACTATGTGGATTGTAAACCAAGTTAATTATTGATTTTATTCCTTACTGTGCCCCTGAAGCCTGGAAAATCTCTGCCCATTCTGAAGCATTGAAGAATTCAGCTCTAAAATCCTTTGCGAAATCTGCATATGTGAAGTCGGGAGGGTAGTTCGCTTTCATAAATTCTACTGCGCTGTTGGTTTTGACCCCCTCCCAGTCCCACCAGAACCACTCCGACTCAAAACTCGGGACAGAAAATACTCCCCAGTGAATGAATATACCAACTTTTGCCGCG